GTCAAAATTCCAGATGTCTTCTTTGCAGAATCAAGCTGATCCTAAATTTCATGTGGAAATTCAAGGGACATAGAAAAGCTAAAACAATGTTGAAAAAGAAGAACAAAGTTAAAGGACTCACATTTCCCACTTTCAGAACTTACTACAAAGCTACTAGTAACCAAGACAGTGTAGTACTGGCATAAATACAGTCATATATGTCATTGGAACAGAATTTAATGTCCATAAGTAAATCCTCACATTTGTGGTCAATTGATTTTTGACAAGGGTGCAAGACAATTCAGTTGGGGGAAAGAAAAGTCTTTCCAATAAATTGTATTGGTACACTTGATATCCACATACAAAAGAATGGATTTGGAACCCGACCTCACACCTTGTACAAACATTAACTCAAAATTGATCAAAGACCTAAATATAAGAAATAAAACCATAAAACTCTGAGCAGGATACAGGTGTAAGTCTTTGTAACCATGGATCAGGCAGTGTTTTGTATTGTTATGTTTTTACATGTGACAGTTAAAGCAGAAGCAATCAAACGAAAAATAAATTGAACTTCATCAAAATGAAAAACGTTTGTGCATTAAAAAACACTATAAAGAAAGTGAAAATATAGCCCATAGAATGGGAAAAAATATTAGCAAGGAGTGCCCGGCTGCTCAGTTGGTGGAGCACTTGACTCTTTTTTTTTTTTTTTAAGATTTTATTTAATTATTTGAGAGAGAGACAGTGAGAGAAAGCATGAGCAAGGAGAAGGTCAGAGAGAGAAGCAGAATCCCCGTGGAGTTGGGAGCCCGATGCGGGACTCGATCCCGGGACTCCAGGATCATGACCTGAGCTGAAGGCAGTCGTCCAACCAACTGAGCTACCCAGGCGTCCCAGCACTTGACTCTTGATCTCAGGGTATGAGTTGAGCCCCACGATGGACATAGAGCTTAATTTAAAAAAAAAAATCATATCTTTTTAAAAGATTTTATCTATGCCCAACATGGGGTTTGAAGTCACAACCCCAAGGCCAAGAGTCACATGCTGCACCCACTGAGCCAGCAAGGTGCCCTACAAATCTTATATCTGATGATAAGGGTCGGGTGTCTAGTGTCTAGACTACATAAAAAATCTTGTGGTGCCTGGGTGGCTCAGTTGTTAAGTATCTGCCTTCAGCTCAGGTCATGATCTCGGGGTCTGTCGCCGCCCCATCGTCACATCAAGCCCCGCATCATTGGGCTTCCTGCTCAGCAGGGAGTCTGCTTCTCTCTCTCCCACTCCCCCTGCTTGTGTTCCCTCTCTCTCTGTCAAATAAATAAATAAAATCTTTTTAAAAAATCTTTAAAACTTAACAATAAAATGACAACCCAATTAAAATTGGCAAAGTATTTGAGTAGATTTTTCTCCAGATAAGATATCCAAATAGCCAATAAGCACATGCAAAGATGCTGAACATCATTAGTCATTAAGGATATGCAAATCAAAACTACAATAAGATATCACTTCACACTTACTAGGTTGGCTCTGATTAAAAAGATGGCTGGGGAGACAAACCATAAGATACAATCTCACAAAACAAACTGAGGGTTGCTGGGGGGAGGGGGGTTGGGAGAGGGTGGTGGGATTATGGACATTGGGGAGGGTATGTGCTATGGTGAGTGCTGTAAAGTGTGTAAACCTGGCGATTCACAGACCTGTACCCCTGGGGCTAATAATACATTATATGTTTATAAAAAAATTTAAAAAATTTAATTAAAAAAAGATGGCTGGGGTGCATGGGCGGCTCAGATGGTTAAGTGTCTGCCTTTGGCTCAGGTCATGATCTCCAGGTCCTGGGATCGAGCCCCATGTTGGGCTCCCCACTCGGCAGGAAGTCTTCTTGTCCCCTCTGCCCCTCGTGCACTCGCGCTCTCTCTCTCCCTCCCTCTGTGTCTCTCCTAAATAAATAAATAAAATCTTAAATAAGTTTTTTAAAAGATGGCTTATAACAAGTGTTGGTGAGAACGTGGAGTAATGAGAACACTCATGTACTGCTTGTGGGAATGTAAAGTGGAAATGTAAATAAAGCCCTTGTAGAAAACAGTCCCTCAGTTCCTCAAAATGTTATATACAGTGTTACCATATGATCCAGCAGTTCCACTCCTAGGTATTTACTCTAAAGAATTTAAAATATGGGAGACTATGGACTCTGAAAAACAACCTGAGGGTTTTGAAGGGGCGGGGTGGGAGGCTGGAGGAGCCAGGGGGTGGGTATTAAGGAGGGCACGTATTGCATGGAGCACTGGATGTGGTGCAAAAACAATGAATACTGTTAACGCTGAAAAGAAATTAAAAAAAAAAAAGAATTTAAAATAGGTCCACAGAAAAACTTGTACACTGGGGCTCCTGGGTGGCTCGTTCAGTTAAGCCTCTGCCTTTGGCTCAGGTCATGATCCCAGAGGTCCTAGGATCGAATCCCACATTGGGCTCCCTGCTCAGTGGTGAGTCTGCTTCTCTCTCTGCTTGCTGCTTCCCTTGCTTGTGTGCTCATGCTCTCGCTCTCGCTCTCTCTCTGACAAATAAATAAAATCTTTTAAAAAGGGGGTGAATTTTATGGTATATGAATTTTATCTCAACAAAAAAGTACATGCTGTACGATTACCTTTATATAGGGCGCAGAAACAGGTTTAAAAAAGTCAATGCTGGGGAGCCTGGGTGGCTCAGTCATTAAAGCCTCTGCCTTCAGCTCAGGTCATGATTCCAAAGTCCTGGGATGGAACCCCACGTTGGCTCTGTGCTCCACAGGAAGCCCGCTTTCCCTCTCCCACTCCCCTTGCTTGTGTTCCTGCCCTGGCTGTCTCTCTTTCTCTGTCAAATAAATAAATAAAATCTTTTTAAAAAGTCTATGCTATTAGAAGTCAGGACAGAGGTTAATTTTGTTAGGGGTCGGGGAGTAGTAACTGGAAGGAAGCAGGAAGGGGATTTCTCTGGGACTGATGTTTTGTTTCTTGATGAGGAGCTGTTATGTGTGTGTTCATTTTGTGAACATTTATTGAACTGTTTATTAATTATAAACAATGAATTTCTATTTTATTTCATTTCATTTGTTAAATGTATTTCATTTATTAAAAATAAAATTTTTATTGTATTAGCAAATAACTTTAAACAATAATAGCTATGCTGTGGAAATTGTGGTAAAGCTGGTTTACTCTAACATGACAGATAGCACTGTAAATTGATTTAAAAAACTTCCTTTGGTGAAGCACTGTAACGAGTATCAAAGTTTATAAATATCTTCATTATCTTTGACTCAATAATCATACTCCTGGGAATGAAGACTAAGAAAGTAATTCTAGTAAACAGAAACGTTGTTGGGTTTTTTTTTTTTTTGAGTCATTGTGTTAATAAAGTTGTTTTGTAGAATAAAAGAAAACTGGAAACAACCTGAATAAATTTGTATTTATTTATTTATTTATTTATGTATTTTTAAAGAGATTTTATTTATTTATGACAGAGAGAGATAGCGAGAGAGGGAACACAAGCAGGGGGAGCTGAGCGGGGAGCCTGATGTAGGACTCTGTCCTGGGATCATGACCTGAGCAGAAGGCAGATGCTTAATGACTGAGCCACCCAGGCATCCCCTGAATAAATGTTTAAATGGTTAAATAATGTTGCCATCAGTGCTATGGAATATTTTTTAAAGATTGATTTATTTGAGGGGTGCCTGGGTGGTCGGTGGTTAGGTGTCTGCCTTGGGCTCAGGCCATGATCCCAGGGTCCTGGGATCAAGCCCTGAGTCCGGCTTCCTGCTCAGCAGGGAGACTGCTTCTCTCTGCTTCTGCCCTGTCTCTCTCAAATAAATAAATAAAATCTTTAAAGAAAAAAAGATTTATTTGAGAGAGAGTGGTTGCGCACGCAAGTGGGGGGAGGGGCAGAGAAAGAAGAGGGGAGAGACTTCTCAAAAAATTTATTTGGGGCGCCTGGGTGGCTCAGTGGGTTAAACCTCTGCCTTCGGCTCCGGTCAGGGTCCTGGGATCAAGCCCTGCATTGGGCTCTCTGCTCAGCGGGGAGCCTGCTTCCCCCATCTCTCTGCCTGTCTCTCTGCTTACTTGTGATCTCTCTGTCTCTCTCTGTTAAATAAATCAATAAAATATTTTAAAAATATTTTATTTATTTATTTGAGAGAGAGAGAGAGAGAGATTGAGCAGGGAGGAGGGGCAGAGGGAGAGGGAGACTGAGTCATCCAGGCGCTCCACTTCTTGTGCATTTCAGTGAGGTACGGTACCTATAGGAGGAGGTGGGCATTGAAGTCCAATAGGTTTATCAGGAAGATGGTCAACAAAATTATTCCGGTGTGAGGTCAGGCACATCGTGCCTCAGCTTACTCATCAGGAAAATGGAATTAAATACACCCCCTCCTCCAAGAATTCAGTATCGTTACAGTTTCGCATTTAACAGTTTAACTAGAAATACACTATGGAGAGACTGAGGCCTAAAAAATCTATTAAGTATCTCGGGTAGCCGAAAATCATGTTTCAATCTCTTGCTGACTGCCGCTGAAATACCCACAGTTGAGGGTGGAACCTCGTGTCGAAAAGCAAGCTAAGGATGACTGAGGGAGAGTGAGTTGGAGACTTCCTGTGCCGTTTCCTCCTCCACTTCTTCCTCCCTCCCCCACTGCCGCCAATCACAAATTCTGACCCTTAAGGCACAAAGGTAGAAAATCCCATGGGGTCTCAGGCTAGGAAGCCTCTCATTGTCCCGCTCTGACTAGAAACTCGGAGAATGGGAAAAGGCCACCCTCTCCTCGCCTGTCCCCTGCTTTCTTGTTCCTTGCCACTCTGGGCTTGCTGTGGCAAGTGGGAAGCCGTCTCCGGCTGCAAGCAATCCTTTTTGCAAAGCCGAGGAATGAGTGAATGAGAGAGAGTGACAGAAAGAGAGACAGAGAGTGTATGTGTGTCTGTTGTGTCTCTGTGGTGGAGGGAGGATTGGGGGTGGGATTCCATGACGTTACCGGCTCCGCCTCCCGGTGTATATAAGGGGGGCGCTTGGCGCGCAACGACCCCAAGCCGCAGCTTTGAAGCCTGAACAACGAAGTCGGTAGCCCCAACCCAACTCGGCTTAACTCAGCCTCACCCAACCCAATCTGAGACTCGCCTCTCCCTGGGCTTGCAACAGCTCTCTGGTAAGCCTCGGGGGCCGACAGGTGTGTCGGAAGGGGACTGCGAGGGTCTGGGCATACCTAGGATTCCCCGGCAACCATAGCGTGCAGTTGCATCAACGCGGCCGTGACCTGTTGCTGGGCGAGACCCCGGCCCCGGGATGGCTCCCGTCTCCACCTCAGCCCCAGACCGTTTCTAGATGAAGCCGGGAGCTGAGTTGGGGGGCGTAGGGTGGAACCCCTCTCTGTTGCAAGCAATTTCGGGCTGCCCTGGGCCCCCTCTCAGGGTGCATCTCCAAATCTTCAGATGTCGAAGCCCCGCCCCACTGTTGATTCTTGCTGGTCAGCCTTGCAGGGGCGGGAGGAAGTGGGGGAACATTTGCTTACTCCCCTGGGCGACAGTAGCACGATTTACCCGGTGTGGGCTTGGTGAGTAGGTGTGAAATTGAGTCGGTGCTCACTTTTTGATCTGCCGGGGAGGTCGGTCTCCCCCCGCCCCGCCCTCCCGGCAGTGTAGGAACCTTGCCTATTAAGTAACCCTTGGGGTAAGCACCGAAAAGGAACGTGGATAGTGGATGTGAGAAGGGGGTTCTGCCTAGATTTATTTGCTGGTTGCTCCTGGGGTGAGTTCTGTTTAATTCTACAGGCCAGGGAATGGACCCAGATTAGGTTCCATGGTTCCTGGGTTAGGGTCAAGAATAAACCCTAATTACCCCGTCAGAGAGAGAAAGAGAGAGACTGATACTGAGCACTCATGAGGTCCCTGGCTTCTGTACCCCAGGGGCCTTTCACAGGTCTTTTGTGCATTTAGTCCTACAAACCTGTGAGTTACTGTTTATTCCTACTTGTTAAGGAAGAGACTGAGGTTAGAGGAAGACACTTGCTTTTGCCCCTTAAATGTCCGCCCCATCCCCCTATCGCTCGTTTGCCGGATGGAGTGGGTATTGTCATGCACTCTCAGAGCTTAGGGATAATGAGCCCCATTGAAGGGCTTTTTGTCTTGTTTTTCACCAGATCTTAGGCTCCTCTGAAATTTCAGCTAGGATGCTGTGGCGGGCCCTTCGCAGAGTGGGTCAAAAGCTGGTACGCAGACGGGCGCTGGAGCCAGGCATGGCTGAGACTCGCCTTGCCCGATGCCTGAGCACCCTGGATTTAGTGGCCCTGGGTGTGGGCAGCACCTTGGGTGCAGGTGTGTATGTCCTGGCTGGTGAGGTGGCCAAAGATAAAGCAGGACCGTCCATTGTGATCTGCTTTTTGGTGGCCGCCCTGTCTTCTGTGTTGGCTGGACTGTGCTATGCGGAGTTTGGTGCCCGAGTCCCCCGTTCTGGTTCTGCATATCTCTACAGTTATGTCACAGTGGGTGAGCTCTGGGCCTTCACCACGGGCTGGAACCTCATCCTGTCCTATGTTATAGGTGAGATGCTGGGGCCGGGAGGGATCCTGTGCACAGCCAATGAAGGGGCGCGATGGTGAAGTGATAAATTAACATTTACAGGACTTCAGTACCCCTAAATGTGTGTGTGTTGGGGGGCCGGCTGGGAAGGTTGAAGGTGTGGAGAGATTGTTCGTTCTCCTTAACCTCTTGTCCTGGGGTCATAAATTGACTGGTTTTGGTTTTTTAAAAAGCAAGGCTAGGGGCGCCTGGCTGGCTCAGTCGGTGAAACATGCTGACTCCTGATCTTCAGGTTGTGAGTTCAAGCCCCACTCTGGGTGTAGAGCCCGCTTAAAAAAAAAAAAAAAAAAAGAATAGATGAAAACAGCAGGGATTATTTGTGTGACTGGTTTCCGGGGAGTGGGGGAGGAAAATTGACCCCATTGTTTTTCCCTCTGCTCCCCCAGGTACAGCCAGTGTGGCCCGGGCCTGGAGCTCGGCGTTTGACAACCTGATTGGGAACCACATCTCTCAGACCCTGCAGGGGAGTATCTCACTGCATGTTCCCCATGTCCTCGCAGAATATCCAGACTTCTTTGCTCTGGGCCTTGTGTTGTTGCTCACTGGTGAGGGAAGACACAGGGAACCGGTGGGGGCAGGGCTAGGAGGGACCAAGCTAGAGACGGGGCTGGTGGAGGGGATAATGGTGAGAAAGAAGATAAGCTGAGTGGGAAAGCTGTGCACGGAAGCGGGAAGCAAAGCTCCGATGGAGGACTTTTCTGAGTCCTGACTGCTTCTTTCCCACAGGATTGCTGGCTCTGGGGGCTAGTGAGTCAGCCCTGGTCACCAAAGTGTTCACAGTGGTGAACCTTTTGGTTCTCGGTTTTGTCATCATCTCGGGCTTCATTAAGGGGGACCTGCACAATTGGAAACTCACAGAAGAGGACTACAGACTGACCATAGCTGGCCTCAATGACACCAATAGGTTAAGTCATTAACTCTCAGGAGCTGCAGGGCTGGGAGCATGAGAGGGAGCCAAGGGGGAAGCCATGCTAAGGGCTTCGGGATTGGGTCGGGGAGGAGGAATGGGAGCTGAGGCCTCCAAGACCTGGCAGAGTAGTTTGGCATCAGAGAAAAGGCACAGAGGAGGCTGAACACACCTTTTACCTTTTCTATCTGTTTCTTGCACTTTAGCTTGGGCCCCCTGGGCTCTGGAGGATTTGTGCCTTTCGGCTTCGAGGGGATTCTCCGAGGAGCAGCTACCTGTTTCTATGCATTTGTTGGTTTCGACTGTATTGCTACCACTGGTAACACAGTCACTCTGGTTCTGTCAGGGGTCAGGGTACAATGTATGCTCCGGTGGCATGCACATTGGCGGCGGGGGGGGGGGGTTGGGGGGTGTAGGGGAGGGGACCTGCTTCCCTGATTCCGAAACTTGTACCCCTTCCTGCAGGCGAGGAAGCCCAGAATCCCCAGCGTTCCATCCCTGTGGGCATCGTGATTTCACTGTTCGTCTGCTTTTTGGCGTATTTTGGGGTCTCTTCGGCACTTACCCTTATGATGCCTTACTACCAGCTTCAACCCGAGAGTCCCCTGCCTGAGGCATTTCTTTATACTGGTTGGGCCCCTGCCCGCTATGTTGTGGCTATTGGATCCCTCTGTGCTCTTTCTACCAGGTCAGTGGAGAACGTTTGTTTTCCTCTGTTGTAGGAGTATTAGGCTTTAGCATTCAGTGCTCGTGAATACCCCTTCAAAGGGCTTTGAGGAGGGGCACCTGGGTAGCTCAGTGGGTTGAGTGTCTGCCTTCGTGTCAGGTCCTGATTCCGGGGTCCTGGGATCGAGCCCCGTGTTGGGCTCCCAGCTCTGCGGGGAGCCTGCTTCTCCCTCTCCCACTTCCCCTGCTTGCGTTCCCTCTCTCTCTGTGTCTCTCTCTGTCAAATAAATAAATTCTTTAAGGAGAAAAAGGGGGCTGTGAGGAGAAGGCTGGGTGGGTACAGAGACCGCGGTGAACTCATGCCACTCTGGCCATTCCTCTCTCAGCCTCTTAGGCTCTATGTTCCCCATGCCTCGGGTGATCTATGCGATGGCAGAGGATGGCCTCCTGTTCCGTGTCCTTGCCAGGGTCCACACGGGCACACACACCCCCATCGTGGCCACTGTGGTCTCTGGTATTATTGCAGGTAAAAAAAAAAAAAGTCTTTGCCCTTCCCCTAGTTGTTTCACCAATTCCCTTAACTCTGCTCTTCCCTTCTCTCATTTCTTGGTTTCTGCCCATCAATTTCAGCATTCATGGCATTCCTCTTTGAACTCACTGATCTTGTGGACCTCATGTCAATTGGGACCCTGCTGGCTTACTCTCTGGTGGCTGTTTGTGTTCTCATCCTCAGGTGAGAGTCTCTGTAAATCGGGATTGGGTTTTTTTGTTCTCGGATTGAGGAACGCTAGCGTTCTATTCCTCCTCCCTCCTCCACCTGCCTTATCCTGACTCTCCTGGAGGGATGTGGACAGCCCAGCCCGCCAAAAAGAGCTTGGACCCTTGATCATGAGGGAGGTTAAGCTGCGTGGGAGAAGATGCTAAAGCAGTTAGGGGTCGTCCTTAATCCTGCCTTCTTACTCCTGCCTCAGGTATCAGCCTGAGCTGAGGAATGATGAAGATGAGGTGGAGTTACAGGAGGAGAAGCTCCCCAAAGCAGAGAAGCTGACCCTGCAGGGACTCTTCTGTCCCCTCAACCCCATCCCCACTCCGCTCTCTGGCCAAGTTGTCTATGTGTGTTCCTCATTGCTTGGTGAGCAATGACATTTTTCTCTAGGGTGGTGGTTTTGAGGTCGCTGCGATGGGGTGGCGGGGGGGGTGTGGTGGAATGTGTGGCATTTGGTGGCTGAGGATGAACTAGAGAGAGCGTGGCCTTCCTTGGAATGGGGTGTCTGATATCTTCACATGCTGGTCTCAAGAGCTGGTTTTGATATTCTTCACCTTTACCCTGAAGCCCTGCTCCTGACGCTTCTTTGCCTGGTATTGGCCCAGTGGCCCATCCCACTGCTTTCTGGAGACCCGGTGTGGACCGCAGTGGTTGTGCTGCTTCTGATGCTCATTACTGGGATCACTGGGGTCATCTGGAGACAGCCGCAGAGTCCCACTCCCCTGCACTTCAAGGTAAATGACTTCTTCCCACCTCCCCACCCATCCCAGAAGAACAGGCTCCAGATGCTTTGGGCTCTAATAAGGTTCGTAAATATTCTTTAATTGGATGAGGAAGGAGAGATACCAGAGAAACCTAGGCGGAGTACTTCTCTCACCCTCCGTAGTTCCTTTCCAGCTCTGTTTCCCCAAACTGTTTATCCTTGGAGTCCTGTAGGAGGTGCAGTGTAGTGGGCGTTGAAATACACAAGATGAGTAGGAACTGGACCCTCCCTTTCTGGGCGAGTAGGTTAGGGATCTCTTTCTAGGTCACCTCATGGGATATACAAAGAAGGTTTTGCTTTGTTCCCAGGTACCTGCTTTGCCTCTCCTCCCACTAGTGAGCATCTTTGTGAATGTTTACCTTATGATGCAGATGACAGCGGGCACCTGGGCCCGATTTGGGGTCTGGATGCTGATTGGTAGGTATCCACTGGGGAAGAGTAGTCCTTTTGGGTGTCCTACCCTGATCCTTTTCCCTCTTGGTCTCATGTAGGGAGACCTGTGAAGCCTTTACGGGTCACTATTTCCCTACCTCACAGCTCCCTTTCCCCACTAGGCTTTGCTATCTACTTCGGCTATGGGATCCAGCACAGCCTGGAGGAGGTTAAGAGTAACCAAGCCCCACTCAAGTCTAGGGCCAAAACTGTAGACCTTGATCTCAGCAGTGCCTGTACACATTCGATCTGATGTCATCACCCCTGAATGCTGTCTGGTCCCCCTGCACAATAATGGTGAGCACCCTTGAGCACACGGGAAGCTAGGGCTCCCGTGGGATGTGGGTGGGGGACCACTAACAGAGCTCTGTATTTATTGTGGAGTGAAGGATGTGTCTTTGCTGTTTCTCCTCTTGGTTTTTAAATTTTTATTTTTAGTGGTCTCCTTTCTGATTGTGTCTGTAGCTGCTTCCTGGCTTTTACAAAATTATTAAAAAGAAACCAGAAAAAGAAACCATGTCTTGTTCTTTGCTTGCTAGAGATGATGTGGGGCCTAACTTTTTGGTGTGGAGAGAGCTTCAGATAAGTGTGCTGCATTTGCTCCAGTCACCGCTAAAGGATCTGTTGTGCCTGTGTGTTTCTTGTTGGCTCAGGGTTGGAGGAGGGTGGCGTGAGCACTTGTCAAGCCTAGTCCCACTTAAAGGAATGATCTTGAGATAGGTTTCCCTCTTGCTATACTAAAGGTTAGCTTCTGAGTAAGTAGAACGGCAATACTTGCCTTTGAGATTTGGGGGTGGACTCTGATCTCCACACTGGCATTGGTCAGGACCTACACTGAGACCATTGTCTTCTGTTCCACCCCTTCTAGTTGGACCGGACCCAGACTCTTGTGACTGCCTGGGTAACAGCAGTTTTGGCTAGGGTATTTGGCCCTGCTGGGAGGAGGGGTGGACAAGAGTGGGGTTTGGTAGAGGACTGTATATACGTGTAGATCCCAATGGCTGTAGAAGTGGTAAGGCAGCAGAGGTCAGAGCTTTGCTCAGACCGAGAATGATTCATTCATCCACCTATTCAACAATGGAGCTCCTGTTAAAATGGTAGGCCCTATGCCGGGCGCTTGGGATACAAATATGAATAAAACCTCTAGTCCCTGCCCTCAAGGAACTCACCATCTAGAGTGGGTGAAGCAGGTACACATGAAATAAATGATGTGACTTGACACCGGGGGAGGTGTGAGTGCTGATTGCTACAGAAACATAAAAGAAGGACATGCTTGACCTGAGTCTTGAATGGGTGTTCCTGAAGTGGACTGAGAGGAGGGCTTGTTTGTTGGTGAGTGGTGTGCACAAAGCCACGAAGTGTGAAGAAGCACATTGTATTTGGAGGCATGGCCTGTAGGTTAGTGCGGTTGGAGGGTAGCCTGTGTGGGGTTGTGAAATAAAGCAGACCGTAGGAACAGTGTGGGTGGCTTTGTATATCCTACCAAGGAATTCAGATGTTCTCTTTGTAAATGGTGCTAGTGTGGAGGGGAGGGGGGGCAGGTAGTGAAGGAGTCTAAGGAAGATGGTTGGGTTTGTTAGTCCCCACAGCAGCAAGGGGGGTGTGCTTCCAAAGAGGCTGGGGGAAGTTAGAGCAGCAGGATAACAGTCACCATTTCACCCTTGTGTGACATCGCTAGTGGTAATTAGGAGGATGTTGCGATCGTTTGGGTAACATATTTTAGGGTTCTTGGTCAGTTGGATGTAGGAGGTAAGAAAGAAGTGGATGGCTTCGATTTCTGCATGAAATTCCTGATTGGGTGATCAGATTATTAGCCAAGATGGCAAAAGAGGAGTAGCATATTGGGGGAAAGATGAAATCAGATCAAGATATGCTAGTTTATAAACATATAAGAATTTAGCTTCATATAGGTCAAGATACATAATCAACAACTGGAACTTGAAGCTAGGCTAGAAGTCCAGGCTAGAGTTTAAGATTTGGGGGCCATCAACTCAGAGCACACATGTATATTTGGGGGAGATTGGCTGGCTCAGTTGGTAGAACATGTGAGTCTTGATCTTGGGGTTGTGATTTCAAGCCCCCCATTGGGCTTAGGGATTATTTAAAAAAAAAAGAAACCTCTAGTATAAGTTATATAATTATCTTTATATACAAAGAGCTCTTTCAAATCAGTAAGATGAGGGGCGCCTGGGTGGCTCAGTGGTTAAGCATCTGCCTTCAGCTCAAGTCATGATCCCAGGGTCCTGGGATTGAGTCCTGCTTTAGGCTCCCTGCTCAGCTTCTTCCTCTCCCACTTCCCCTGCCTGTGTTCCCTCTCTCAGTATCTCTTTCCCTGTCACATAAATAAATAAAATCTTTTAAAAAATCAGTAAGATGAATAAACTGATAGTTGAATCAAGGATATAAATAGTTTGCAGAAAAAAATATGTAACACCAACAAATACTGATACTCAGCCTCACTCATTAAATTCAAGACAAAACAGTTGAAAACTCAGTTCTTAACCTTATAGATCAGCAAAACAAATTTTTGTAAGACTTTATTTTGAAGTAATCTCTGCACCCAGTGTGGGCCTTGAATCCACATCCCTGAGCTGTGTGCTCTACAGAGTGAGCCAGCCAGGTGCCCCCCTCCATAAACCAAAGTTCAGTGATTTGGTATTGGCAAAAGTGAGGGGAAACAGCCTTATGCTTGATGGGGATTACATTGTTGTAACTTTTGTGAGAGTAATTTCATAATACAAGAATTAAAAACATTCCTCTTGATCTGACAATTCCACTTACAAGAATTTTTAAAATTTCACTTCTATAAGGATATTTACTGTGACATTTTAAGACAATAAAACTTGGAAGCTACCGAGTGTACATCAGCAAAGAACTAGTTAAGTTACAATACATTAATTCGGTGGAATATTTACAGAGCCAGTAAAAAAATGACATAGAATTCTATGTGCCAAGGGGTGATTCAGAAAGCTCTTCAAGATAGACTATTAAGTAGGAACAAAACAAAATGGAACAAAAACCCCAAGGTGCAGAACATCTGTGTGACGTCTGTTTATCATAATTTTTTTTTTCTGGAAAAATATATAGGAAACTTAACTTCTGGTTTTTCTTCTGTACTTTTTCAGTTTTCCTAACCAGATAGAAGCATTACTTTTCTCATTCATTTTATAATCATCATAACAGTAAAAAATAACAGTAAAAAATTGGGGGACCTCTAACATTTAAGGGATGAAAGAAGATTCAGCACCAGAGATGAAGAAAGAATGACTGAAGAGACAGGACAGTTATGTGGGAAGTCTAGGGAGGAAAGGACTTTCCAAGAACAGTCAGCGATGCCAAATGCTGCCTAAAGAGCCACGTTAAGTAAGATGAGGACAGAAGAGGGTTTATTGGCTTTGTCAGTAGGTAATTTGATCATTTCATGAGTAGTTTTGGTCAGATGGTAGGAATGGGGGTCCTAAGGCAGTGGGTAGAGTAAATGGAGGGTGAGGAAGCAGGTACAGCGTTTCAAGCCACCAGCCAAAGGGAGTCAAGAGGATTTTGTTTTATAAGATGGGCTGTTCTGGCATTTTCATGCTTAACGAAGATTGTCAGTGGAGAAAGTGAATACATTTTGGTTCTACTGTTGAAATAAATCATTTATGAAGGATGGACTAGTTCTCTGCTTTGGTTTCCTAGTCTTTTTTTTATTCAGTGCGATGTTTCCCATACTTGAATTTTTCTCTATTTGTGTAATTCCTGTAATGTTAAAAAAAACCCAAAACCCTCACTTTTTAAAGCTTAAATACACTTATTTATTTATTTATATTTATATTTTAAAAAATTTTTAAAAAGATTTTATTTATTTATTTGACAGAGATCACAAGTAGGCAGAGAGGCAGGCAGAGAGAGAGGAGGGGAAGCAGGCTCTCCACTGAGCAGAGAGCCCGACAATGATGTGGGGCTGGATCCCAGGATCCTGGGATCATGACCTGAGAGGAAGGCAGAGGCCTTAACCCACTGAGCCACCCAGGTGCCCCCTAATTATTTATTTTTAAAAATTTTATTTATTTATTTGACAGAGATCACAAGTGGGCAGAGAGGCAGGCAGAGAGAGGAGGAAGCAGGTTCCCTGCTGAGCAGAGACTACGCCCCTCCCCCATGCTGGGCTCGATCCCAGTACCCTGGGATTATGACCTGAGCCAAAGGCAGAGGCTTTAAGCCACTGAGCTACCCAGGCGCCCCTACACTTATTTATTTTTAAAGATTTTATTTATTGATTTGAGAGGGGGGAGGGAGGACTTGCAGAAGCCTGAGGGGGGGAAGGGCAGAGAGAGAGAGAGAGAGAGAGAGAGAGAGAAGCAGGCTCCTCGATGAGCAAAGAGCCCGGCCTGGGGCTTGATCCCAGGACCCCAGGATCATGACCTGAGCTGAAGGCAGATGCTTAACCGACTGAGCCACCCAGGCGCCCCTATTTATAAAGTTTTATTGAAGTAATTTGTATATCCAACCTGGGGCTCATGACTCCAAGGTCAAGAGTAGCACAGCACACTGTTCTGACTTGGTCAGTCAGGTGCCCTAATACACTTACTTAAAAGGAAAACATTTGGGGGCGCCTGGGTGGCTCAGTGGGTTAAAGCCTCTGCCTTCGGCTCAGGTCATGATCCTGGGGTCCTGGGATCGAGCCCCCACGACCGGCTCTCTGCTTGGCGGGGGGCTTGCTTCTCTTCCTCTCTCTCTGCATGCCTCTCTGCCTACTTGTGACCTCTGTCTATCAAATAAATTTTTAAAAAATCTTAAAAAAAAGGAAAACATTTTACCACTATCATACATAAAAAGCAAAGTATTTCCCTGAGACACATTAAAATAAATATCCAACTATTCAAAAATGTTTGGCTGTGTACCAAATAATCCTTAAATGCATTTAGCTTTCCATGATTTCTCTGCCACCCCCCACTTCCATCAACCATGGTCTGGAAGCCAACGGTCCTCATGTATAGTCCGAAGGTCAATGGTAGCTTGATGCTACATCAGTGCCTATGTCATTCACCTCGCTTCATCTTATCATGTAGGCATTTTATCATCTCACATCCTCTCCGGAAGAAGGGTGAGTACAGTACAAGATCTTTTGAGAGAGACCACATTCACATTACTCAGGATATTGTTATACTTGTTCATTTCATTACCATTGTTAATCCTTTATTGTGCCGAATTTATAAATAAACTTTATCATAGGTATGTCTGCACAGGAAGAAATAGTATATATCGTGTTCAGTGCTCTCTGTGGTTTCGGGCATTTCCTGGGAGTCTTGGAACATACCCCCTGTGGATAAGAAGGAACTGTTAAATACTGCACTTTGGAAACCCTTAGGCAGTTAGTCAGTAATCTCTTTAGGATGCTGAGCTTATAGAGGGCTTTAGGCATGGTCTAATCTCAAGGAGTCCGGGATAAACTTGGCCCAAATACGTACAAAGACACCAAGCAGGAAATAAGCAAGTGTCCTAAGAGATCTATGCATGAAATC